GCCACCTGAAGGAAGCACGAGGGCTGGGAATCTACCAGGTTGCCCATGCCTAGGCAGCAGAATTCGAGATACAGAGGTCGGTTTCAAACCATGGTCCTTCTGGTCAGTAAATTCGCACCCTTACCCTGAGCCATCCCATCCCGGCTTTGTAGCCTATACAACTTTACTTCAGTGGCACTTTTAAGAGGCAAACGAGTCTGACAAACTTTCCATAGCATAAGTGCTGTTAAGGGTGTCCAGTTAATTGATAACGTCATTTAGTCTAGTCATCTGAGAGCGTTTCATTTTGTGTACACCTGCTGCTCTCCACGGCTTAGTTGATATCAGAAAACTAGGCAGTATCAACAGTAAACTGACTCACCCCAAGTGTCTCTCACGCACAATATTTGCCCTATACCAACTATCCTTACCCTCTTGGTTGACCGTCTATGGTCATGCAACCCAGCCAAACTGAATCCATCCACGTACACCCTTCCGTTTTGAATTTTCCTCTGGTGAGGGGGGCTTACAAATTCAAACTGATGTCCAAATCCCACACAGTGGTAGGTGGCCCATGTAGCTATTTTGGAAATTCAAATATTACTACACAACTGGGGGTATGTGAACATCATTTGGACTGGCTATTCGTGTGTCGCGCAGCAAATCCATGAGGTCGTGGGCTTGTTCAAATGAGGATTTAAACCATAGAAGTGTTGTGACCAGTAAACTGGTATACACAGATAGACTGAAGGGGGTAATGTAAGTGCCAAATTTTCACCAAGGTTAGCGTCTCATTTAGTAGAAATTCCATAGAGGAAAACAAAAGCGCAGTGGCTCAAGAACAACGGTATGGAACACTGGGTGACCGACTGGGGGACGATTACTTGCGTCGTTCATTCCAAACACAGAAATTGTACTCCGGGAGTTTCCTCTTGACTGAGATGTCATGAGCAATTTCAGTACTTGGAAAATCTCGTAACTCACTGGTCATAAGGTTGGCTTAGTTAATTAGGCCTTAGTTAAAATTCAGCCTACAGAAGCAGTGTGTGAAGTTTTCGAACTACTCGTTATATTCCGTCACCAGGTTTAACTTATATCGGAACGTAAATAAGATAAAAGGCCGATTCAGATAGGAAAACACTGTTACTTGTGTTCCTGAATGCGTCACCATTCGACTTTTGGTGACTATTTCATTCAGGATATGAAGATCGAAGCGTCCAGCCTTCCCAGGTTCTGCTAGTGTGTTACATGATCAGATAAATTGCTGGTTACTGAGTGATGCCCTGGAATGAATCTTTGCTCCACTTGTACAAAAGTGAGTCGAGGAATGAACTTCCTCAATGGAATTTGATATCAGCAGTATGCATGGACGTCAGTCGCAAACACACAATGACGAATAAGTTAACTAGTTTCGAACGAACAGAGAATGTGGGACGCATGATTGAAGTTGAGGATTTATATCACAAAGAGTGAACTGAGTCGAGGAAACAGAACAGCTGAACAGTGAGTAGATATGATTCGAATTCCAGGTAATTCGGGTTCTTAACGAAACTTTCCGGCTGCTGTTGCGTCACTCACCCAGTAGTGAAGCTGGACATTTCGGTCGCTGAAGAAACTTAGGGTTAGAGTCCAGCAGACGAAACATAGCATACATGCCAAACGTGTCCAAGCCATGATAGACAAATAACGAGAGTCTGAATAATAACAACATAATGCAACGGTTCCAACTTGCTCGATTATTTAGTCGGTACGTTGGGCTAGCTAGTTAGTTAGTTAGTTAGTTATTTCGTTAGTTAGTTAGTCAGTAAGTCAGTTAGTAAGCTAGCTAGATAACTTTTAAGTCAGCTAGGTCCACTTAGCTTTTTTTAGAGAAGTGAGTAACAGTGAAGAACGTAAAGGAGTGCTTTCTGAAGTGAAAAAACTGTTTGTGTTACCGACCACTCGCTTCTAACATGTTGAACGCTTTTTCTCCACTTCAGTGATGATATTTGTCAGAATGAGCATTCATGTAACAATGGAAGCCAATTGCATCACACTAACTTTTTTCATTTTGACTTCTTGTTTGCCCAAAAGTTACCGTAAATCAATAGAAAATTCACCAGGAACAACCGAAACCGCCTGCGGATCTCAGTCCTCAGGAGAACTGATCAGTTACCAACAAATTCGTTGTAGATTCTCGAATGAATAATTCAGTCTGTAATGCGATTTCATCCTTCATGATTTCGTTGTATTTCTCTAAGGAACGTGGGCTGAAATTATAATAAGTATTATGGAGTAATCGTTTCCTTCGCTATGGAGGAACTCAGTGCGAAAAGTACTGCTTTCTTCATTAACTGTTCTCAGAGTCAACACAGTATGGTGCCTCCTGTGTGTTCAAATGATTCGGACAGTATCCAATCCAAGAAGCATGCATCGAAATTTACGATACTTTGCGTGAAAAAGCTGAGACGAGTAGCAGAGTAACCGTTAAGAATGGCCTAATTCTATTAACAGCGTATTCGTTGGTCTTACTCAGTATGCAGCTGCAGAGTTTGAAAACTGTTCACCAAGCTTGCGTCCATCAGTTTCGACTGACCAATGAAATAGTAGCCTATTCTATTCGAACACTATTCACCATTACCACATATTGATCTTTTGCTCATGATGGCTGATTTCTACACTCGGGGTTGTGAACTTGTTGCTTTTGCTATTAATGTGTATTTACGGAAAAAGTAATCACAATTTTCACGGACCGGCTATACATTTTCCAGAAGAAAATTTCTTCGGCTTAATCAACACAAGTGAGTGAATAACGTTTGGTGTGTTTCTAGATTTGAAGATCATAGTGTACTATATTCCGTTCATACATCTTCAGTAAAGTGCTCATGTACCGTTAGAAGACTGGGCTATATTGACTAAATAAGTTCATATATAACAGCCACAATCGAACGGCTTTTATTCCGCATGTGCAGTTGAATCCAAAGCTGTTATTAGCTGAGAGCGATAACTTGCCGTGTCTGTGAGTTTGAGTGATTTTCTTTACATACTAAACTCTTTTTTGTCAGTTACCGTGTACTGACATATAGGCCTGAATATAGTATTCTATATCCCAAGTATCGTTGTACGTTGCAAAACTTCGTACAAAAGGTCTGAGGCTTGGATACACGACCATGTGTGAGGTTCGCTATCGCCAATTGACTAAAACCGTGTATCGGCCATTAGCGGACGGCTGGTCAACTTGCAGGGGACATTCATTGGACACTTATAGACTGAATTTAACCTAACGCCCACAGTTTGAGATGAATCAGCCATAGTTTGAATGAGCAGTCCTCACACAACCGTGGCCACACAACCACAATCCATACGAGCACCTAAATCGATATTCTATGGCCAAAGGTTGATCTCCAGTGAGCCTTGTTTTCCGTGCAATGCAAAATTTTGCATAGAATGGAAACTGACCAAAAAACTTGTGGAAGACAAACTAAAGCAAAACCAACTACTGTTGACGGTTTGATTTTTCTCCGTATGTGTTTATGGTTTCTTGGTCGTTCCTTGTTTCGTTAGTCGATTCAAGTTGAGTTTATTATTCGCTTGGGTAGAGCCAATCTTATAGGTTGACATTTTTCGCCCGCCGTTTAGACCTATACAAAAGATAACTTTTGATACTACCCGGCTCACTGTAAAACTGTAAAACCTCCATGCCTTTCCCCTATTTAGTGATGATCCCCAAAGATTCCATTCAAAATCTGGCCTTGAAAATATCAGGGAGTGCTTAAAAATTCTCCAACAATAAGCGTCTTTTGGTAAATGTGGCAGCTCTAACACAAGTTCTTCTGGAAACTAACGCTAAAGGACTAGAGGACCCAAGGGAGGAAGGACAATTTTAGTAGAGGCCAAAGAATAAACGGACAGAACTATATATTTATGAGTTCAGTTAGTCACAGAAGTCACAAGAGCGAAAAGTCCTAGAGACATTCACCGCACACGAGGGTAATTTTGCTGGTTAAATTGGTGGTTTCGCTGACACAGATGGATTTGGCGTTTTGTTTCTCAGTCTATCGTTTGTACCTCTGGATGCCTGCATACCAACCCAACGGTAATCATTCAGAGCGTACCTTGGCGATTGTTTATTAAAATTGGGATATAATAGCCAGATACGACCCTCTTGAAATTTGTCTTTTGAAACCGCACTACAACTACCTACCTTTGCCAGTTAATTTCCTCCCTGTTAGTTTTAGGACATTCACAACTGATTGGCTAGAAAATGTAAAGTCAACTAAAGGCACTCACCACGCAACGCTATAATAAGAGAGAACTAGAACGTGTAAAAAGTATATAACTTGGGGTAAATGGAGCATTATGCTCAGGTGTGTGCACGAGCCGCGTAAGCTTCATTTCGCTGCATAGGAACGCCTTCAACACGCACTTACAGACACACGTGGTCACAGACCACCAGCCCATGAAATACATTGGCGCTAAAGGCTTGGGGATAATCGATCCACACACGCATTCAAATACTAGTAATCGATACCACACGCAGCCATTTTGTGACTTACTCGCCCGTTCCACATAGTCACGCATAGTGCTCTAGCTGTCCGGTATCAGTGTGAACAAGTGAGTTACGTCATTTCCCGTACCCTAATTCAGATCCATAGTGATAGCGATTCTCAAATTTCGCTTTATCTTCCTACCGTTTGTCCGACCGTCAAACTACATTCAGTAACGGCTTAGTGGAACACCTCTCGGTAAATCGACAATCTTGCAGCAGTTGAGACAAACAGTGGTGTTCCTCACTCGAGAGTGCATCCTAAACGGACAAGTAAAACGACACGTGAGCATTGATTGTACTCCCCCCTTCGTGACAATTCGGAGTGCGGCTGGCACCGACACCCAAACCATGTGAGTCAAACATGATTTACATATAAGCTTTTCATTACTATCGCTCTCCAGTGTGAGCTATGATTGAACAGATACAAACCCTCAAAGAGTTAAAACGACCCGAACTGGTCAACGGACCATTTGCAGCTTTCCACAGCGGTCCCAAACACGAGTTGTTTTACTTTGACACTCGCAGGGATAGTGGCGTGAAAGAAATGGATATTGTTTCAAGATTGTCACAAGACTCGAGTAAATTTACTAAACCCCAGATCGCATCAACGGATCATGGAGAAATAAGTACAGGTAAGACTAAAGTGGGTCATTGTCGTTATCAGATGATCAGAGGAACCTGTGGGACTAGGCGCTCAGTGAATGTATTTTTCTCTCTATCCGCACCAGGAAATACGAACTTTGCTCAGAGTTTCTCAAATGTATTGTCAGAAAGAAAACGCAATAATTCTTCTTGCTCATCATCCCCTCCAACTTCGGAAAAGTCATCAAACTCAACTGCCTACTTTGAACCCTCAACAGCGATGCGAGTGATGGCTAATAACGAGGACGCTGACACAAGTTTGCCAGACACGGAATCGGAAGTCAGTGACAAGGCAGTCACCGCATTGGTCAGCGCTAACGATTCCGTTTTCACATCAGGCTCCAATCCGGTATCTTCTAGCCCATGTATCCTGACCTTCCCTGCCATGTCCGGCGCGTGCGATGTTACGGCATCCCATCCCATTCATGCCCAACTGACCAATGAGCGAAACGCGTCTGGCTTGACTGATCGCTTATCCTCAGCCTATCCAACCAATGGGGGAGCAGTGCTGCCAGCAGAACCGGAGCCAGCACTTCAGGCATTACACACACAAGCCGGATCGAATTCCTACACTGATTTGCGTTTATTTTGTGAGCCGTTTAATACGATACAGGATCGCAAATTGTTATCCAATTATGGCAGCCTAACTGACGACCATATACTGCCTTCCATTAACCGAGTTTCAGATCAGTTTAACTTGGTGCATCCAGCCGACCTATCCACAAGTTCGATTGATTCCACTGTCGCAGCGGCATCAGACGTGATGAGCTATATGCAACAGCATGGCCCACTGACTTACGGCCATCCGGATAGCTTGTTCACAACACATAGTCGAGCGCACACAATCGACCAAAAGTCTTTTTCGTTTTGGAATAAGAATGATTTCGAGTTGAATCGAACCCCTGATGGAGGTACGTTGTTCCGTGATCCACAGGCTCCTTACAATATCACACTTAACCCAGGACAGCGTTCCGCACCACATGTTCCGATGGGACTGAAGCATTCCCTGGTTGCAGGCAATCCACCTATGACCTATAATGGACGCCCGCAAACTGAAGAAATGCCTGGCGCACCACCAGGAAACATGGAACAACACGTACAATTGCGCAACGGAAATATTACGGATGCCATCAACTTTCGAGCCGTTCAACCACAAGGATGCTATCCGTATGGAAGTCACGAGATGGAATTTAAACCAGAATTGAAGAATGTCCTTGAGGGTAAGTTGCAAGTTGATGTAACTATAGGTCGGTATCTGAAGTGTGCAACTGCTTGGATTATCTGTAGATACCGGTCCCTAGTGGGTAGGAAGGGTGGTAACAGTGATGTAGCACATTAGAATAACTAACTGTCTCCAAAAAGGATATCACCTCATCACCTGCGAGGGATATGGCTAATTAGGGATACAGTTGATTTTCAATAATGAGCTGAACATGGTCCACATATATACGAAATTCTTCCGCTGAAAAAAACGCCGCTATCCAGAATTGTCTGTAGCAGTCTTCATTCATCGACTATGTAATATGACGCAATCCTCTCGAAGAAGTAGAGCCTTTAATGGCAGATGAAATATCTCCACCCCGGCAAGGGGTCATCGTAATACGGGAGTGAGGATGACTCACACAACGGTTGACGGGAGTTTTGCCTTCATTTTACATGACAACTTCTGGGTAGGGAAACCAAAGAAGTGGATTACTCTTGGTCCTAAAATTGACGAAGAAAGACAAGTACCCAACTTTTGACATATTCAGGTTATTCTGTTAGAAACCGGTTCAACGATTATTAGTTATAAGCAAATATTAAAGGGGACAAGAAGTAACCAGCTCTCTACAACTCATCAACTCAAAATTTCATAATTTCACGCGGTCCTTCACTTAATCACTCCATATAGAGTTGTAAGCAAGAGGGTGTCGCACACCACACAGACTTGGTAATAGCTAATGGATTTGAAAAAAATTATGGGTTGCCTAAGCATGTTGTACGCACTCATGAGTGCGGAAAATCATCAAAACGGCATGACGGCTGATGAGTTGTGGAGTTGTCAGTTCATCTTCAATTGAGTAACGCAGCAAACTATACAGTAGTTCCGGCTTGGTAATCCTACCATGGAATAACAACAGACCAAACACGCTTGACCTACATTGTCTGAGGTGTGCGGTCTAGCTTCCTGGAGTAAATCTTTGTAAGCCGAGTAGCCGGTTATCCTTTGAGGACTGAAAATCTACTCTATCGCTACTACATTAGTTTCTGTCAAACTGAACACTTGGTCAAACGTATCCAACGTGATATGTATCTGACGGACTAGCTGTATCTGTTGTTTGCTAAAAAGAGTACCGCGTAGAACCGATGCTTATTCACGAAATTTGCCACTTGCAGCACTGTACTTTGTGTATACATACTGATAATAATGTTAACCGAAATCGTACTCACTACACCAATAACTTTTCTCACAGAACAGCTGTCTAACCCATGTTTTTTGGAATAATTCTCATACGTGTTAAGCCATAACAATAAAAACTCATCACTATGCTTCCTCTAAAGCAGATGGACAGCTCAAAAAGTTGAAGAAAAAAGTATTACTCTTCTTAGGACTTGTCCGGCCAGTCTAGTCCCGGAATTTCCACCAAGCTTATTTCTTTTTTGAACACAAATACGTGCGCATGCAGCCACAAATCACTTGTGGCTGATATTCATCTCTCTTTTTTAACATCATTGGGCAGAAGTTGGTTCCCAAAAACCACTTGTGTAAACATAGATGGTTAAAATTCGGCGGCAATTCTGTTCAGTCACTCGTATCTGAATAAAAAACTGGAGCATAGCTAGTTGATTGGCACAACTGTGAAGACCTTCTGTTGACCAATAGTGATCCGCGGATTGTTCCAGCTCTCCATAAAAACAAAGACCAACATGGTGCAGATGCCTACCTCATTTTGGCGGAGGATTCTAGAAGCATACGCAATTGTGCCGGAAGGTTTCCATCCCCTTAGATTTGACAAAACGAATGAATTTTCGGCATGAGAACCAGGAAGTGAGTAGTTCGAAGTGTTCTCGAGCCGAAAAAGGACTAGGGACTCAGAGGGATATTATGTATGCATTCACCAACTGAAACCACAAACCTGTTCCTGATCCAAAGCCAAAAGCAGTGGGAAAACTTGTTATCTCATACCAACAACAGATTTGTTTTTGCTGAATTAGAGATGGCGCAGTTGACTAGTTTTGGGCAACAAAACGAAGGGTGTCCCGAATACTCAGTTGTATTCAGGAAATTTTCTACTGAATAGCCTGCTGTCTTGCTGGATGTTGCCTCTCCAAGTTAATGACACTAGTTGCGCTCTTAGCATGTTTACAAAGAATGAAATTGCATACCAGATGTACATTGCTTACCCAAGTGAAGACAAGGTAAACTCGTTGGTCGTGCCGAATTTTAAGGCCACCTGCTCGGAGCATCACTAAAATTAGTGAGACACGGGTAGTCCAACTGTTCTGCCACATTCAACTTCCCCTTCATGTGCAAGTCTCCTTTATGATATCATCCCGGTGTTAAGTTTCCCGTCTATTATCTATTTCAGCATTTGCCATTTCACAAAATTTTCCAGTCACTGTAGCGCAGCTAAAATCACACGATTTATACAGGAGAAGCCTGTGTGGGCTACTAAATCACGAAGTGTACTGTAAGGGCGTCTTACTAATGCTTTCCAATTACATGTTCCACGCTATCCTCCAAGTGAACGTATTGGAAAGTACAAGTAGAAATATCGAGTCTCTACACAGTGTTAGAAATGAGTATTTCAAGATCGCAAGCAAAACGTTCTGAGCTCACTATCAAAATCATCGCTATTGGCAACAAATTAGGCTAATATTAATAAAAGACTGGATAAATTAGGAAACGGACTTATTTTGCCCATTATTTACAATTTAACGTTCAAAATGAAACACCAGACTGACGTAAACTCAAATGGCACCTATCTGATGAGCCCAAAGAAGGACGGAACCAAGTGAAGATTGTCGAAAGCCAGCATATGCGTGGAATGTTCTGTCAGATATGCTTCCTTCCTTTTGAATCATTGAGCGCTTAATAAAGCCAATCCAAAGCGATAAGACGCCGAGAATAACTGCAAACAGCTGGAGTTGAGTAAACCTTGGATACTTATTCGCCGTAACTTGTGTAGTGAACTCGTGTAAACCCTCCACCTACTCTGAGTTGCCCTTATAAACACAGTACCTTAAATTGACACATCCGGTTCCAGAGCTTTAAACCCATCTCTTCGTAGTAAAGCAATTTATCCTAGGAGGTTTGTTGAAGAAAGAACAGAATAGCATAACCTAGCATCATTAGTGGTTTTTCTTTAAGATACATTGCTATAGTCATGACAGAATATATGACCTTCCTCCAAAAAAACTACCAAGGTTTTTCGGGACTGTGGAACTTTCGGCTGTAGCCGACAGATTCACCTTCTAAAACGTAACTTTTTTTACCGACGAAAAGTCATGAAACTCACTATCTACAGAGATCGCGGTGAAATCGGTTTGATTCAGCGGTTGAATACCAGTTTAGGACGCGAAATCTTAAGCAAAAATCCAAATTAGTGAAAATTTTAGGTCTCACTCGAGAAATCTTTCTTCCAAAGGACAAAATAAGCCAGAATTACTACTGTTTGGTTCTCTAGCTTTGACTCTAAAACTCGGTTAAATTTTATCTGTCATCTCAGGTTTTTATGTATTAATTTATGCTTAAACGAACGATGTTATTTTCACTGGTAGACAGCAAAGCAGTAGCAGTACTATGAGGGTAATCACCTCACTGCTCTGTCGCCGGTTATCATTCACTATCCGAGGGTTTGAATTTCGAAAATCCCTAGAGATTCTTGAGATGCGCATTGCCGATGACTCGCAACAAAGGTGAAAGATTGCACACTGGTGCTCGAATTTTCAGCCGACAGTGACCTTCAGGTTGAGACCTCTAATAAAATTTCAGAGCCAGGCTGGTGTCTGGTACCAAACTGCCGCATTACCAAGGGGGCCAAACGCCTTGGTGGAAAGGTGAACGGATTGTGACTAAAAATGTTGTCCCCAGGGAAAACTACCAAGAACAAGGTGTCTATACCATTGAACAACCTTGAAGAAACACATCTTTTCTGGATAAGTAGCTATCCACAGTATACACCCATCAGCCTAACGCAAAAGTGTGACGAGAACATACCACCCGATCGAAAAGCGACATCTGGGATAAGTTACGTAGCATATCGCTACAGCACATAGTCTGCTTGTAGCTTCTCGCACTTCGTCTATTCCATTAGAAAATTTCATCACCAACTGCTTGAGATAAAAACAATACCTTTATTTGCACATGTTGGCTGGGTCTTCATGGTGAAGGTTTCAACCATTTATTCGGGCAGAATTTATCTGCTCCGGCGATCGCCATCCTTTACTAAGTCACTTGTAACACAATCAGATTATTACATCGCGGCAGCCATCTCACTCCAGTTATCCTACGAAGGAGCTAGTAACCTTTGAATGTAATTAATTTTTTCAGTCAGGGTGAAAAGGTTTTGGAACCAAACCGTCGTTAGTTTTTAACTGGGCATCATTTCGCTTTTGTGTCAAAAGCTTCATCAGGCCATTGTCATCACCAAACTGGCTAGGTTTTAAGCCAGACGGAGACCATTCGGTATGACCTTTACAGATTAGCACACTAAGTCAGTGTTAAATGTCACTTAAAGGGTCTTGTCGTTTAGTGTGGTTGGCTGATCCTTACGGTTGATGGGTTGGGAGGATTTCAAATTATTTTTGATCGGTTATGTTTCCTTAATCTTAAGGTTCAACTTGCTTCAATCGATGATTTACCTTGGGTGCCACTGATAGATTTTGTTGGTATTTGTGGGATTGTGACCACTACCACAACTTAGTTTGGTGAGGGGAATCGGGTGAGGCTAAGTGAACTTCAGATCCAAGCCACTTCTTTTAATGACTCTTCTTCCTGGTAATCCGTCAAACTCTTCTATGCACAGGGCCCCTACTGGGTTAAAACTGATGAGGGAATACTAGCGAATACCAACTACGGATAAGCAGATGAACTCTTCAGAATTGCTCGGTAAATGGCTCCTCATGCATTGTGGTTTTTATATTTCCCTCCCTTGTGCATCATGCAGCCCTTGAAGGGCAGTGTATGGGAAGTTGACCCTATCTCTACACTAAATCTGATGCGTGGATTAAGCTCATTCATTGACCTTGTCTCGTTTACTCACGACGGAACTGTCATCTACATAACGCCAGAATATCTTAGGTGGGTAAGAAAATCCGGCCAAAGCTTTCTTTTCAAAATCTTCCATAAAAAATGTTTGTTAATTTTCGAGATCGCATTGCTAAACCTTGTTCTTAAGTGTAAAACGGAGTGCAAAGACGAAGTGAGTAAGATTCAGGCATGGTCTTATGTCCTACACTATTTCACCTACCGTAAGCTGCGTCCCTTTCGAAAGGTTGGTGCCTGCTACGAGGAATCGGTTGGCTATTTCTAGAGTCCCCTATTTGCACATTTGTATATAACGATCTGACATAGAAACTAACAAGAATATCGTCTGGTTCAAAAACTGAGGATCAAAACTGAGGATTATTTCTTCGTCCCTTATCACTCTCTTACCTACAACTTAATCTATCTCTTCTATAAAGATAACGCTGTTTTTCACTAAGCAGTTCATTTGATAAATTTACCAGGCTACAATTGCTAGTAGGCATCTCACGCCTCGTTATAGGCCCAACAGAAAGCTGAGTCTTGGAAATAAAATTTTCGAAATTAGGTATTTGTCTATCTCTGTACTGTTGTCTTTCGTTGGCCCTAACTTCTGTCGCTTTGATTTCCGTTAATCAGATGACAGCACAGTCTGAAGTTCACAGCTGAGCCGACAAGCGTGGTAATGATATCATACACAAGTACTTTTAGTGTAAAGATAGCTTTAGGGACCTCTTTTCTGGCACTATACTGTAAAATCCTATTGGTGATGTGGTTTCAGGAGAGTCGAGTGTATCACATTTTATAAAGGATTGGTTTGGAACCACGCAACATGTCCAGCTACCATGAAACTCTTGGTACACAAAGAGAGACAGCTACCGAGCACTTTCCAAGTCGTGTGTTTTTAATATCCGGTGGTGCCCCGAATTGTAGTTTCAACCTTTTTATGATAAAATGCCTTCTTCAGTCGAAAGGTAACATCTTCAAATCCGGTCTACCGGCTTCACGTTATCCGCTACGTAAAGAAAGCCCAGTGAACTTCAACGAAATATGCACATTCGCCGTTTTTTTCCGAAATATCAGTTTAAATCTCTTTCTTTATGCTTTGAGATGCATGTCCGTCAGTTCTAACCGATCTGAAATGTAGGAAATCAAAAAAGATCACCCATCAAATGAAAGCGGATGACAATAGGTGATCAATCGGGTGATCAGTCGGACGATCAATTGACAGTCAAGTGATTCAAGTCTTGACGTGACCAAATGTTTAAGCTAGACGCGAAACGCAAAGTTACTCTGCTCTGGTTTTAAACATAACAATAACACGGATTGTGGATAGCAACGAGTCCTCTATAATATCGTTTGTGATAGACTTATGGTAGTATATTTATCTCTTAAACCAACTTAACCTTCCCACTCCCCCATCCTCTTTAGTCCAAATCCCTCACAACCAAAGTCACATACCTGGACACCTGTGTCGTCCCTCAATGATTAGTGGAGCGATGGGTCAGCAAAATTTACAAGTTGGTCCGATCGGTTTGTCAGGAGTTGTGAACCCAATGCACCCTCGACATGCGCACGTTCCACATCCCATTCAAGAAATGGAGGAGATCAACACAAAAGCACTGGCCCAGCGAATAAGCGCCGAGTTGAAGCGGTACAGCATTCCTCAGGCCGTGTTTGCTCAACGTGTATTGTGCCGTAGCCAAGGTACCTTATCTGACCTTCTGCGCAATCCGAAACCTTGGAGTAAGCTAAAATCTGGACGAGAAACGTTTCGCCGAATGTGGAAATGGCTACAGGAACCGGAGTTTCAGCGAATGTCTACCTTACGTTTGGCAGGTAAGTATGCATGGTCATGGAAATTTTTCATCACGCCAGGTGCATTTTTTAAAGTTAACTGGTGATATTGTCATAGAGTGAGTGTTGTGGTGTGTCAAAAATGCCTTTTGTGTACCTTTCACGATTTGGTTGTATAAAACAGAGGTAAAATTCACGGAAATTATGCATAACTTGAAAATTCCACGTTGTCTGTTGCAATCCTTCAGATTTTTATTTCTTTGTTTGAGGGGTTTCATGAAAAGCCAGGTACCTTACAGTCCCAAGCAATCATACTAGACTTCGGTCGACAAACTAAGTTGGACAAACTGCCTGCTTTCCTTGCTGTGGATAAATATATTACGAAGCTTGGCTGCAGAGCTAGAGATATTATGCTAATATCTGCTTCTCGCTGGAAATTTACTACTTTCAAATAAGTGTTTCAAATTCCTGGAGTTCCCACGTGTATGATTACCGAAATAATACTGCAGTATCTCCGAAAGAACTAAACAGCAGCTCTATAGGATGTTTATATCAGACTGTGGAAGATTGTTAAGAGCAGAAGTTCATCAGCTGAGTCTATAAGATGAAGTAGTCGGGAACATGAGCCAACTGTAGGCCATCAAGTGGACTTTTTTGTCTCTCTTCACCAGTTGTTTGCCTTGGTTTCCGACTTTCGCCAGGTTTCCCAAAACTATCAAGTCATCAGTGCTGTTCACATTTGTCCAATAGACATTCTCAGTTGGCTCGTTTGCGAATTCCAAAATCCTGGAAGCAGTTTACCTACTCTAAACCTGGTATGAACAGTCACTGCTAAATAAGCTTTAGTCCTCAAAGAGGCGAAATTTGGGAGACTTCAGCATGTTCTTTGTTTGTCAAAATATCCTATTGCTCATATATAAGAGCAGGAACCAAATTCATTAGGACATTCTGAACGCAGATGTGGTGGATAGTGCAGTTTTCCCCAGTATCCCAATTTACGCCGTGAAAATACATTAATTTAAATGTTTACCCTTCCTCTTTGCGTAGGGGGGATCAAAGCTTGTACGCGGTCTAAACACCAAAAAATTGTTGCTGATTTCTACTTACAGAACAAATAATAATTTATTCCAAATAGCCACTTGGCCAATAGATCCTGCTGCACTGTTGCAACCAAGACACTACATCATGTTTTTGGGTGGTGCTCAAGAGCCTTTCCCGAGAGTTAGGCTAGCCCAAAAATCAGCTCGCATCTTCATAAGGTTGGTCGTTATCTGGACAACGTATCCTCACTGCACCCTTAGATGTTGGGAAAATTTGCATTTCAGCGATAAGCTGATGTTATAAAAACGAATGCTGTGGGGGACTATGGAACAGGAGAACTGAGTCGTGCCAACAAGACACCAGAAAAAAATGCACCAAAGGCTGAGCCTAAATTAGACGAAAATCTGCTCCTAAAGGTGGTTCGAAAAATGTCCCGAAGGTTTAAATTAGATGAATTGATATGGGACTCAAATGGCTGCCCATGAGAGCAATCAGGAATGTCCTGACAACGCGACGTTCGGTCAGTTTTTAATCTTCCATACACACTTTTGCAATTCTAGTGAAATGAGCAAGACGCGTTATTTTTACAATATTGGTGATGGTGACTTGATTGGTGATATATCTACTACCAATGAAATTGAGATGTTCGAAGCAGTATCAGTCAGCATTTTTTTATTCCAGTGGCTCAAAAGAAAATTACCCCCTGTTTGCTAGCTTTTGATCGAATAAGTAACCGAACCAGCATTAATACCAGACCACATGGAATAAACTAACTCAAACGCTAAGTTCTTAAACAAGTCCTTTTCCCTTATGTGTGAACTATAAACAGAGAGTGAGACCGGTTTTCGCATTCCACCAGGTTAGGATTTATGCTGAAATTGACTGTATATGCTTATTCTGGAAAATAACGGCAACTGTGTAGGCAACTTCATGGTACATACCAGACACTTGAGGCAATAACGATCAGCCTTCAGACGGTTCAGGTTCCGTTCGCGTTCGCTTAGTCTTCTCATCGAAAGATCTATTATTATTATTGTGGACATTGTAAGCGTGCGGTGATGAACAAAATTGTGGGGAATTTCCGCAGCACGCGCGGTAAGGAAAACTCAGTTTAAGAAAACCAAGACGTAGTGAAAACCTCGTACAGTTCTAAAGAAAAAAAGCATTTTACAACTCATTATCATTTGCTCTGGTGACACACAGCAGCAGGCATTCGTGACCAGGGTGGCCACTTCTGAGGACTATTAATCAAATTACAATCTTCTTCTTTGCAAATTAATCTTGTCCGGTACTAATTGTTTTGATTAATATACCTCAATTATCCCAGTATCTGTTTTACTACCTTTCAGCTTCGTTTACTAAAATAATCAAGTTGAAATAGCTACTAAAATTTTCATGAAACTTTCAGTCGGTTTATATCTAAAACGCTGTTGGTACGGTCGGTAAACTGAATTAGGACAAGCTTAATTCAGCGAATCCGATCACCTGAGTCTGTGGACCAAGTCACAGTATCTTCTTTAGTTAGCGTACTGGTAAGCGAATGAGCGTACGGCACAACAGGAACTGGTCCACGGGAAGTTGACAATCAGGGTGAACATATAAGACTAACCCGCAAAACGATCATCTACACTATTTGGGGACATTTATAGGTCCCAAGGTAAGCATTTCAAGTTAGGTTCATGGTTAATTTGAGCATGTTCATCAGTCCGATGTTTTACTACTTTCAGCTTCGTTTACTAAAATAATCAAGTTGAAATAGCTACTAAAATTTTCATGAAACTTTCAGTCGGTTTATATCTAAAACGCTGTTGGTACGGTCGGTAAACTGAATTAGGACAAGCTTAATTCAGCGAATCCGATCACCTGAGTCTGTGGACCAAGTCACAGTATCTTCTTTAGTTAGCGTACTGGTAAGCGAATGAGCGTACGGCACAACAGGAACTGGTCCACGGGAAGTTGACAATCAGGGTGAACATATAAGACTAACCCGCAAAACGATCATCTACACTATTTGGGGACATTTATAGGTCCCAAGGTAAGCATTTCAAGTTAGGTTCATGGTTAATTTGAGCATGTTCATCAGTCCGAATTTTGCAGTCAGGCCCCAGAGATATACAACTAGTTTTCAACCAATTTTATGAAAAGGACTAATTTAGCCAGCGGCTAATCCTTACAGAATCATTATATCTAATGTTGCTAAATAAAGCTGTTAAATTTAGTTTATCTATCTCACCAGTAAAAAGACTTAGCTCCATTGCGATGCAACGGTTTTTCCAGGCCATTGAGAGTTTAAGACATACTGAATGAGTCCATGGGGAACCATAACTTCCTTACACGAACTGGCCTACGGCTGAAGGTACGATAAACACAAGTGTGGCTCTCCAAAACGCATCTTGAGGTCGGTGTGACGACATACTTCCTGTATCAGAGAATCATCCTCCTGCTTAACTTCGTTCACCCCGACAATGCATTTGTCCGCATACAGACAAGGACACAAAACGTCGGTTTTTGACCAGGACATTTTAGTCGCTGCCCAAAGCAGAGACAATAATAGGAGAATTGCCAAGCTGGTTGTCTTCCAACTACCAACTCCGTCCTTCGTTGGATATTATGTTAACCCAGTCTGTAGGCGTACAAGAACATTGAGGTCGCGCATGCTGCCGCTCACACCCATGAATCCGCACCAGTTTTTGGACGATCCTGGGATGAAGTATTTTATACTCTAGCCTTGGAGAAAATCAGAACCATCGCCTACCAAAAATTATACTGTTTTTCGTGACCAAATCAGAATGACGGAAGCAGAATTGTGGCTAACCCTTGACCTGGCAGGGGGTATGGAAGGGATTACGAAGCGTGAATGCTGTCGGTGTGACTCGCCTTCCAGGATAGGGACCACGCGGTCTTCACTGCGCCCAGTTGGAAATGCTGCAAGATACGGCTGCTTATCGAATTCACTGGCGTTTTTGTTGTCAGTCTGTATCCAGATTGTCTGAATGAGTATCTGGAGGTTCAGGCACTTCGGAATGACTGTGGCAGACTAGTACTCAATCAGTTCCTCATCCAGTTTTACTCTTTTTCTCAAAACAAAGTTTTGAAAAAATAGTTCGTCCCGATGCTCACAGAAGCAACTGAACCAAGGTGGACATCTGATCCAGACTGGGCGAAAAACGGTGTCTAGCGTCCCATGATACTGAATGACTGACTGACTCCGAAACTTAAAAGTATAAAATTAATAGACCCCACCTACAGAGCCACCAAGTTTGAGCCGCATACCGTAGACTACATGAGAAAACAGTCTTATATTATCCTCTCTACTTTTTGGTGGGTGAACCCACTTGTCCCGTTCGCTTGTGATCGCCAAACATTCAAACTGTCGAAAATGTAGTATGGAGTTCTGTGCATTAGCCAAGTGGGGTAAATGATATGTTGTGAATTATGATAAAACACCCCAAGTGAACTGGTAAACTTGAAATGGCGTTCTCTTGTTCCGTTTGTTCGGTGTGGACAAAACTCCCTTAATCACGCACAGGACGGAGGAAGGAATATCATGATGTGTATTTTTCCGCATTAATTTAGGGTGTGGTTTGAAAAAGAGGGATTAGGATTGAACGCCTGCACACACCCAATGCGCACGGCGCAGATGGTAGGTATTTAGCTGACGCAATATGATCTGTTTATTACTGGTCGGCCTAGTAACTGTCAGTATGTACACATTCCGATAGACTACATGAAGACACAAACAAGGAAATATGTGCTGATTTTGCATATTTTTGACTCTCCTTGAAGGCTTAGGACCATGGAAATTATCACTGTGTGAACACCTGGTGTAATGTTCCAGACGCCAGAGCGAGAAAAATTAAGCAGCGTAACTCTTGACAGGAGACTTAGTAATTGGTGACCAAATGTGAATGTCCTGTTTTCCAGAATTTATGGTATTCATAAAGTTGCTAAAAATCCTTCGGCACCCACGGTGGCCCGGTTTCGCCCTTCTTGGGGCTCCT